CGCCGCCATAGACCACCTGAGGGCCTGCATGCAGCCACCAGCAGACATCCCCCAGAACCACCCAGGCCCTCCCCAGAGGGAAAGCAGTGCCCCCCTGCCCAGGTACCCCCAAGAGCCCAGCCCCCGGCAACCCCCCCGGGGCCCCAAACCCATACACCCACCTCCACATCAACCCCAAGGCCCCACAAGGTCAGATCCCAGACTACCCACCCTCACTATGTAACGGAGCCGATCAAAGGAGCCCACAGAGATTGATCCAATGTGTCGGCAGATGCTGTTTCAAGACTAATATGATCTAACAGCAGATTTTTATACTGATTAATACTAAGATTATTTTTATTTTTCCAATTCAGGAGTATGGTTTTCTTTGCGATGCATAAGGCAGTGAAAATCATGCGACATGTATTTTTTTCCAGGGTAACATCTTCCAAGATAGCCAATAAGCAAACAGATGGAGAGAGTGGAATATTACATTTCAGACATTTAGACAAGTCTTCACAAACCTGGACCCAGAACCTCTGAACGGGTGGGCAGAACCAGAGTGCATGGATATAATCATCAGGAATATTGCCTGTGCACTGTGAGCAGTTGTTAGATGATGTAAATCCCATCCGAAACATTCGCTGACCTGTATAATGTACTCTATAAAGAACTTTATACTGTATTAATTGTAAAGAGAAGGTAAGCAGGTGTAAGAATAAAGAGTCATTTTTTGTTACACTGCCATAGGATTTGTAACCGCAACAGAAGTCCCTAACCATCTTACACAGATTTCTGGTTCCTCTGCCAGCCATGTCGGGCTTTTGGTCTCTGGAGCATTCTCTACTTCAGATGCCACCATGCGTTTTATATTCGGAGCTCGTTCAAGAATTTCTTCATGCAAATGAAGAAATCCCTTTTAGTTTCAGAAAAATCAAAGACTGCTTTGTTCCTTCACAGACGCCACCTGCATCTATAGCTGCTCACTTTTTTATAAAACACCACTGCAGAGAAACTTTGGCTTTTTTCTTGTGACTGTACCAGGAAGTTCATTGAAATTGGTTCTTTTGCACCAAATTTATTTTAACATTAGAAAAAACCCTACTATGTAGTAAATTAAAACCCCTATTATGTAGTAAATTATACAAGTGAGCTTCTTCTGAAGGGAATGAGGCTACTTTTATACTACCTTATTATTTCTTTGAATTCAATGCAGTAAGTTCAGGTCTGAATGTAAGTGCAGGACAACAATAATGCTAGTTCAACAGGAAATACATCTCATTTTGTTATGAGAGTTATCAATGAGTTAAGGTTTGTTTGGCTTCAAGGAAATGTAAGAAAACCTACCTACCGTAATTTCTGGTCTATAAGCTGCTACTTTTTCCACACGCTTTGAACACCGCGGCTTATCTGAGGCTAATTTATGTTTTATTTTTGTTTTTGGACGGGCTAACAAGCTTCATGCCACCAAAACGTTTAGCCCCATCACATCCGGGTGCTCACATAGCGGCCCAATACACGTCTCTTTTGGGGGTGGGTCCTCATAAATAAATGTGAGACTACCTGTATGAATAAAGGTAAAAAAAAATGACCAATAAAACTTGGTTTCGTTGGTCCACTGGAGAGGGGGAAAAAAAACTGTTTTCCTCCCTCCCCATTCTCTCCTCTCCTCCCCAGTCTATGGGTTTTTGTTGTACACAACAAAGTATTTGCAGCCACTTAAAATAGCCTGAGTATAAATCGTAAATCAAATCAAATTGTGAATTTGCTTCATGACGAAAGTGACATTGAGAGCGACAATGAAAGAGAGACTGAGGATGTGTGTGATGACGTTTTTCTGAGGTTGTTCAATTCTGACACTGGAGAAGATGACTTTAGTGGTTTTAGTGCACAGGAGGAAGATGAAGATAGTGATCAATGACTTCCTGGTAGGCTACTGTATTTATTTAATTTTTTTAACCAGCCGTGTTACAGGCACTGTTGAGAAAAAAATATTTACTGTACGTATTTGTGTATGTTACCGGTACATATTTTATTAAAAGTTTTAAAAAATCTTTCTGTGTAAATATCTCATGTACAACATGGGCTTATACTATACACATGCATGGCCTATATATGTACAAAAAATTGTTTCTTTTTAAATTTAGTCAACGCGGCTTATATTCAGGTGTGCTCATTTGTCTGGAAATTACGGTACTTGCATTTATTAAACAAATTAAACAAAAAAATGTTGATTTCTAAGCTTTAAAGGTTTATATTAAAGCTTTGATCACCTTTAAACATTTAGACAAGCTCTAAAAATAACTTCCTGCCATTTGAACGACAGTACAGACATATCTAACTCATATATTCTCAGTTATCTGTTATCATCTCTAGAATCTATTTTGTTAAACCTTCCAACCATTTCTACTTGTACCTGTTTCACGATTCATACTTAAACTCCCCCAGCTGCTTGATTTTGCTGCACAGATGTGTTTTTTTTCTTCATCTGCTTTGTCTCTTCTCTTCTCAGAGGCAAGCCAAGTATTCAGAAAATAAGCTGAAATGCACTAAAGCTCGAAATGACTATTTGCTGAACCTGGCAGCAACTAATGCAGTGGTGGCGAAATATTACATCCACGACGTCTCAGATATGATCGATGTAAGTATGAGCGAGGAGCATGTGTTTGTTTGTGTCTCTCAGCTGGGACCTCTGATGTTGGTTTAACTCCGCAGCGCTGTCACTTTTCTCACCATCTGCTCTCATTCCTTCTCAGTCTGTTCATTGTTTGTTTTCATGCTGCTTGGTCCCGGTGAATCTAGTTGCCACCATTTTTGCTGAGCTAATTGCTGTGTAATAAACCTCGACATTGACATGCTGGCGACTGACTGCTGTTGACAAAAAAAAGGTGTTATTGCTCTACATTTCCACACAACTACCACATGTCTTACTGATGATTTCAAGAGATTTCATCAGTGTTGAAAAGATGAGCCCTGCTTTACCTCCTTGTTCTTCTTTCTTTATCCTTTCCTGCTTCATTTATGGTTATAGATGTTACTTTTAGGAGTTTCTGCACAGATAAACAGCTTTTCATTGTAGGCGACTGCCTCTAGCTATCACTGACTCAATTGCATAATCTAATACCTCCATTACACTTTGACATGTCTGCCTTGAATTTCTACGGCATATTGAGATACGGAGTCGTAAGAAAACATCTCAGCATCCCTTTTTTATCTGATTCTCCAGAAAATAATATTAATAATAAAACTAAAAGGTATTTATTATAAAGTTGCCATGATCACCGTTCTCTGCCACATTCCACGCCCACTTCCCCACCGCTCTTCAGCGCTCACGACCTGCACCTGCTCCACATCCTATTTAAGAGCCCCATCCACGACTAACCTCGGCCAGATTATCGAACCCTTCATGGTATTAGATATCCAGCCATCTTGTTCTTGTTCACGCCCAACGTTCTCGTCTCGACCTAATACCTTGTTCTTTGAATTCGACCTCACGCCTCATCTTGTAGATTTACCGCTCCTCCTGCTCCTTGTCTGGTTTTGTCTGCCCATCTGACCCTGGTAACGACTACCTTTTCTGCCTTATGGATTTTTGATTATGGACTGCCCACTGGATTTATTCTTGGGCCTCTGACTCACCGTGCATGACCCCTGCTTAACCTTTTGGACCATGACCGTGGATTGCTCCACTGTTCAAACTGTCCACAGCATTATGCTGCAACTGCTCCTCCACCAGTTACGGTGACGTCATCATATCAAGCTTCGACTGTTTGTTTTTTTGGCTGTTTTACCAAATCCAAAAACCTGATCCTTGTTAGTATAATCCCGCCAAGGTTAGTCATGGATGGGCTCTTAAATAGGGCGTGGAGCTGGTGCAGGGCATGAACACTGATGAGTGGCGAGGAAGTGGGCGTGGCAGGTGGCAGAGAATGACGATCATGACAAAGAAAATGTTTTGCAAACCAGTAACAGTGATCAAATCTCTTTTAACCAGATTTTAACTTTATATTTTTTAACCACTTATGACTAGATGTCAGTTGAAGTCATTGAGTTTTCAAAGTTTTTCTTAATGCGGACTTAAAATAGTTTATGTGCATGACACTGATTTCTCAGCATTATGTGACATGATATCCTGCTGCAGCAAACAACGATTATTGAAATTAAAATAATTAAAATAATAAAAACTAACGTTATTTACACATGCACATGCAGCTCTGTCTTAAGGAAAATAAAAACATGTTGCATTATTTTAATCCAAATTTAGTTTAAATTACAGAGGCTGTAGCACTCTGCCACAGTAACATAAATCCACTGTTGTCATTTCATTGTTCCAGTATGCTTTATTTCAATTTCTCTGCTAAACGTTGTGAACACAGACAAAGTGTTTTTAGCAATATGTGCCAGGATCAAATGTTTTCCATGCCTCTTTTAAAATGAAGGTTGAAGCAAATTATTTTATACTACATAAAATAAATTAGAATGTTGTGATAGCAATTACAATATTTTTTATTTTTAGATCCAAGGTTTTTCGCATGGGTTGTTTAATGTTGAATATTGTACACTTATCTTCTTTTGTCAGAATTCGAGTCTCTTTAATGGGTGATTTTTTTTTTAAACCAATAATTTTGCACGAGTTGATGCTGCAGAGTTTTCATTTCAGCTGACAGCAAACATGTTTCTGAACATGTTCATGTGTCTTAGCTGTCCTTGTGTTTGTTCATGCATAAATACACCGGCCACACTGATAAGTGCCTGAGTTGCCCTGCAGCCCTATGAAGGCTGATTCTGTTGCTGCCGTATTTTTGCCGCAATAAGAAAATGAGCAGAGAAATAAACTGTTGTGGTAGCACTCATCAGAAATTAGTGCATCTTTTACTTGAATTAAATCAATTTCACCTTGACTCCAACTCTTTGGGAAACTTTGTTTTTTTTTTTTTGTTGTTGTTTTGTTTTCTTTTGGTTAAAGGATACAAATACAGAGAATAAAAGGATTTTTGACAAGATCATTAAAAAACAGGTCCTATTCAGTGTTTCTCTCACACAAACAGACACACATTGGTTGGTTACCAGCATCTACCTACCTACCCATCCATCCATCCATCCATCCATCCATCCATCCATCCATCCATCCACCTCACTGAGCTGCTACACTACTGTACCCCCTCCTGTTCTCTCAGGTCAGCAGACCAGCTGCTCTTGAGCATCCTAAAAACTAAACAAATCTTCAAGAGGATCATACTTTCTCTGCTGCTGCTCCTAAGATGTGGAATGACCTGTCTTTGGCCATAGATAGGCTTCTTCTCTGTCTTGTTTTAAATCCCTTCTTAAAACCCATTTCTTCTCTTTGGCTTTTGACCCCATCTGAGATGTTGGTTTTTAGTCTCAATTATTTTAATTGGTTTTACATGTTTTTCTTTTCAATTTGAGGCTGGTTTAATTGGATTTTTAATTAGGCTTTTAATATGTGTTGTGATTACAGCTTAAAGTGCTTTATTAATAAAGCTGGTATGGTATGATATGGATGGTATGTATGGTTTGGTATGGTATGGTATGGTTTGGTATGGTATGGTTTGGTATAGCACGGTATAGTACAGTATAGTTTGGTATGGTATGATTGTGGTGTGGTATGGTATGGCATGATATGATATGGTATGGTACGGTATGGTTTGGTATGGTTGTGGTGTGGTATGGTATGGTATGGCTCAGTGGGATTAACCTGTCTAAATAAAGGTTGAATTAATAGTTTGGCATGGTATGGTATGGTAAAGTATGGTACGGTATGGTTTGATATGGGATGGTATGATTGTGGTGTGGTATGGTATGGCGTGATATGGTATGGTACGGTTTGGTATGGTATGGCATGGTATGGTACGGTACGGTTTGGTATGGTATG